AACTCGTACCAAGATGACTTTAAGATTTTTGCCAATTCGTTCCATTGTTAGTTTTAACAACGTTATATGTGCTTCCGTCAATTAAATGAGATTAATTTGGTACAAAGGCAAATTAATCTGCCTTATATTCAATTTCCTGAAACGTATGTAAAACTCTGGAACAACAGTCCATTTGCAAATTAACATTCTCTTAATTTGAATAATTTTGCAATATCTTAAAAGAACTCAAGTTGATATTTAACATATTGTATATAACATCCTTTGACAAAATGATTTTTACATTCTGTATATATTTTTAATACACGTAAGACCACTTTTTCTTTGCAGGGGAGTGTTTCACGTCTTGAGGTCAATGGTGCTATGAAGGTCAAAAACTTTCTCTTTGGCAGTCCTCAGGTCAAGGTCACTTTAAACAACAACATCATTGTTCAACGGAATTCCGGACCTTTCATTTTTTAAGAGTGTTTGTGAATACAGCTTTATTACATCTCTAATTCACAGTTACTTCATTTTCTAAATTTTTAAAATTTTTAATTATTGCTTTAATTAATACAGCTTATGGAGACAATGTCCAGCTGGATACATGCGTGTTCCATGAATCTGCCAAAGTGGACAATGTGGACACACCCAGTCTACTGACAGTCTCTCCTCAAATAGGAGAGGTATGTAGATGTATCAGGGTCATTCACAAAATCACAAACACTCGGATGCTTTAATTCTGCTAGCATTTTGTTTGGTTCAGCGTGTAGATAGTAGCTAACTGATCAGGATTACCAGTCAGAGTCCTATGTTTTATATGTTGCAATTCTACTTACAGTTTACATTGATGTCCTACTCTGTCAGTGGAGAAAGCAGCATTACCTCCCCTTTCCATTTTGTCTCCTCAGTCCAGCTACTAGAACACAGCAGGTCATACAACTGTATTCTGTCAATTTTAAAGCAGCGGAATTTGCATTATTAATGCTTACTTTCAGATGATATGTAGAGAGTATGTTTTTTTTAAATTAAATGCTTTTTAGGCTTATTTTAAGTTTGGTACAGAAGTGAGTACTACACTCATGCAAGTCTTTCATTTATTAATTCATTTTAACTCTAGTTTCGCATATTTTTTTTTTTTTATAAAAATACAGTTTTACATCCTAAATGACAATAAATTTGAAAGAATATGCAGCATTGTGATACCCTATAGCTGTTTGCTTTTTTCCAGGGATGTGATGGTTGTCTGAGGATAAAGAACATGTTACCTGTGACCTCTGTCAACCTTAGACTAAAGTTTGGGGTCCCTCAGTCGGTGTCCAAGTAAGTTATCTAACTAAATGAACGTGTTTATGGTGATAGAATGTGAAATTAGAGTTAAGATATATAATCTTTAATACATATAAATGCATATATGAATTATGCAATAAAACTGGATGTATGTAGAAGCCTAGCAATTTTAAATTGATTAATTTTATAAATATTGTATACTTTTGCTGCAAGTATATTATTATATCCTTTATTATACCCCCCGCTTGAAAAGCGGGAGGGTATATAGTAATCGTTAATTCCGTCCGTCCTTCCGTCCTTCCGTCTGTCCGTCTGTCCGTCCGTCCGTCCGTCTGTTACGCTTTGGGGTACCCATCTCTTATCCGCAACTCCTCTCATACCACTGAATGAAATTTGGTGAAACTTTCACAGAATCTTTATTTCATATTGCAATTGTGCACCTCCTATTTTACTTTTTGATCCGACGCATATTTTGGGTTTCCCACAGCAAAACATGGACACTGCGATTTATACACCTATGGGAGGCGGGGGGTATCATTTAGTGAGTCCATTGCTCACAGTACCTCTAGTTTTTAATTGATTTAAGCATTTCTCAGCACTTAGACAGCAGTGAACAAACAGCTACACTGGAAAAGACAGACAGTACTATTCTATGGAAATTAAAATCATTGGCACCTCACACTGAATCTGTTGCTCAGTTTAGGGTAGGTCAAATCAACATGTGCATTTTTTTATTGGATGTCATTGTTTTATTGATGGTTGAAGCAGCGTTTAACTTGAAAGCAGTTTTGCAAAGTACAACAAATTTTCAGTTGGGCAGAAAATTTAATCTTTTTTTCAAAAAGTTAATTGTATTCTAATTGGGTTTGAGGAAGTCCAAAGGATATTTATGTTCCCCAAACGAAGTTGGGGAACATATTGTTTTTACTCTGTTTCTTATTATTATTATTATTATGTCGCCCCGAACGAAGTCGGGGACGACATATTGATATTGTACGCATGTTTTTTTTATCCAGGCTGTTTCTCGGAGATGGCTGGGACAATCTTCCTGAAACTTTCCTTCAAGGACGATCACTGGTTGTAGTTGTGCAGTGAGGTCGTTCAGTTCCAATATGTCTACCGTTGCCATGGAAACCTGTAAAAAGCGACAAATTTTGTCCGAGAGTGTTCTCTCTGGTCCCTTAAACGTTCGTCATGAAACTTTTCTTATTTTAAGGATTAGTATCTGTAGTTCTGCAACTCATATTTAAAATTTTCATATAATCGATTATTGCCATGGAAACCAGGTGAAAGTTAAAATTCTTTAATTTCGATTTTCTCAATAACTACTCAGGCAATCGTTTTGAAACTTTCAATGTTTATTCCTTGCAATGTGTCAAAGTGATTTCTACTTTCAAAATAATTGTAATGAGTCGCTCACGGTTGCCATAGAAACGAAACAGAAAAAAAGATTCAGATGTACACATGTGTTCTCCAAGGTCTAGGTCAAAGGGTCAAAGTTCGTCGTATCCAATAAAAGTTCTTTTCACAAGGATTACATATTTGAAATACGAAAGCCCTAGTACTTACCGTTCAAACGTTATGGCTATTTACTATGTTCAAGACGCCCCCCCCCCTCTTTTTATGAAGCACACAGCCAAGTAGAATACACAGATATAACATATACAACTTACAAGTAACTTTTTAAAATCTTCATTCATAAAATTCAGTTCCCGTCATGTGATATTTTGCCATCATTCATTCTCCTTCTGTTTTGTCTCTTGAATTTATAAATATTTTATTTTATCTATATAAAAAAAAATAACGATTGTCAGCTGCATTTATTATCATTTCGCGTTTTCTTGTATATCTATCACTTGTATATTATTCATTTCATTAGATAGTGCAAGTATAAATTAAAAAATTGGTACGTCATTTCCATAGTTTTTATTCATTCATAAATTCTTTGATCCGCTCCTGATGGTTCGCAAAGCCTTGATCACCACTGTATACAAAACATTCATCTCGCCGAAAATGTTCATGATTCCGCTAAACTGAGAAAGTTCACACATGATTTATTATCTCATAACACACATCAGCTCTCTGCAATGCAGAAATGCTCGAATTGATGGTGGCATGTCAGATTCGTTTTTCGGTAGAACCTCTAAAATGAAAGTGAAAGAGGGAAATTTCAGAGTTCTCACTGGCGTTACAATACACAAAATAATTCGGCTGATCTTCTTCATAAATTACATTTCCCAAGCTTTTATCATAGGAAAGATACTGCCAATTAACAAGTATGAGGCTCAGTTCAGTACATCTGCCAGATTTCTTTTATGCAAGTCTGCAAATTGAGGAACTTGTAATTTTCCTGCACTACTTTCTTCTCCTACCGATTCTAAAAATAATGAGTGGGATGTACCGAATTAAGGTCTTCCGTTTCCAATGGAAAGGACTGATATAACTCAATGGTTGTTCAAACTTAGCTTATGGACTTTTGTTTTAGTGATGATAAAAATGAAAGTCTTGTCTAATACGGGGCGACATATGCTATTGCTTGCAATGGCAGACTTTCTAGTTATTATTATTATTATTATTTTTCTTCTTCCTGGGAAAATTTTGTCCACGAGTGATCTTGTAAACTACACATCCGACTTAGGTGAAACCTTTGTAGGGTTAGTAGGCATGTTATGTAGAGTTGCCAAACAAAGGTCATTTTGCGCGCACGTGCTTGCAAGAGCGCGCACGTGCATTAGGTGAAATTACCAATATAATGGATATTGCCGTAACTTTTCTATTTTTTGATGAAATTTTTTGAAACTCATAATGTAAGGATACATTAGTAGTATAGACAAGAGAACATGGTCAAAATAGCAAGATTTCACGCGCATGCACGTGCGCTTTGCTCTGATTGGCTGAAACTAAAGTATCAATAACTTTCTTGTTTCTTGTCATAATCCTTTGAAATTTTGAACATAGTCCTACATTATAATGATCTACCGCATGATATATAAGAATTTTCATGAAAGCATGCGCATGTGCGTGTGCTGCAAGCTGATTGGCTGAAACTTTAAATGGCTATATCTCCTTTGTTTTTTGACGAAATTCTTTGAAATTTAAAATATAGTCATGCATTGGGATATCCTACAAAATGATATACAAAAAAAAAAAAAATCATGAAATCACGCGCATGCACGTGTGCTGCAATTTGATTGGCTGAAACTTTAAATTGCTATTTCTCCTTTGTTTTTTGGCGAAATTCTTTGAAATTTAAAATATAGTCATACATTAGGATATCCTACAAAATGATATAAAAAAAATCATGAAATTATGCGCATGCACTTGTGCTGCAATCTGATTGGCTGAAACTTTAAATGGCTATAACTCCCTTGTTTTTCAACCAAACAGGATGGGATTTAGAACATAGATAGATGTAAGGGACTCCTACAAGAAGGTATGATCATCATGCACGTGCACGCACGTGCGTGCATTTGAAACAAGTATATTTAAAAATACTCTTGAAAGACAAGATGATATGGTCATAACGCACATGCATTCACATGCGCTTGGGTGCAATGCTAAAAATTGAATATAATTGGTATCCTTCTGGAAAAACGTTGTTTAAAGTCAAAAATGCACAGAGTTTGTCTTATTTAATGAAGCTTACAGGGAATATGGCACCGAAAGGGAGTTGGGAGGCGTTTGGGGAACATCTGTAACGGTTGCCGTTACAATTAGCACTAGTTTAGTCTTGAATTTTTTTATATAAAGGTTTTACTGCTTTGGACTATTAATACCTTATCCAGGTATAATGTACCATATATTTTTCTACTTCATTCTTGTTTTTAGTTGATTAGTCAAAGTGGTGAACTAAACAGGGAGAATGTTGGACCTCTAAGAATGGATTTTGAAATTTCTGGCCGTGTGCTATCAGGGATGAAGATAAAAACTGTGAAAATTGTGAATCAAGAGCAGACAACTCCACAAAAGTGGCTGAGATACATAACTGTCAGCGATTCATTTCTTGTCAAACTTGTGTAGCAATGAAAATAAAATGCAGATAAAATTTTATAAGAAAACGTCTACAATGTATTTTTTCAGATGTGTGCTAGCTTATTAAAAATTTCCATGATTACTGCAATGGGTACAATTTGTTTTTATGATAGATTCATGTAATTTAAATCTCTTGAGTATTCCCAATTTGTAGAAAATTTCAAATTTCTCAATAATATATTTGAATAAAGTTAAATACACTGTATGATGCTGATGGCCACAATTTTACCACATTTCAGAAGCCACTGAAAAATCGTTTTCATATGAAGTAGATCTGTGAATATTAAATATAAAAACTAATTGAAAAATTAAAACGGAAAAAGCAGGAAAAAATTCATAATAGTAATGACCTCATCTGAAATTCAGTTACACATGTCAAAATATGAAAAGAATTCATTGTGTACACTATTTTACAGTAATTATAAATGTAAAGTTGCTTAAGGATATACGATCCTCAGCTAGGAAGGACAACTCTTTAATTTATAATTTAATTCAAAAAGTATTCAAATAAATCTTGAAGTTGAAATTTTTTCATGCAACAATTTTCATTTTATGCCTCTACCTATGATTAAATGTTCTTTAAAGTTTTAACAAACTGTATTTAAAAAGTTGACATTTGTACCTCATAAAATTAAGTAAAACTTGCATATTTTAAAAAATTCAAATTTCTTTTAATTTAGCCTTAATTACCGATGTTTATGATCATGAATTGAAATTAGAAGTTATTTACAGTGTTTTCTTTGAAAGGAAACACTTCATCATGTTCATACACTATGCATTATGAAACGATGGAAGTAAGTAGGAGAAAGTAAAGTATCAAATAAGTGTAAAATTCATGCAATTTTCTTTAAAAGCCTGGATACCTAGGATTTTTATTCCTAAAATGTATTTCTTGATCAATTATCAATTAAAAAATAAGCAGTAGGTAGTTCAAATCGCATTTCCTGAAAAATTATTTGAGATTTACTAATTTTCCCTATAAAATATGATTAAATTTAAAGATGAAGTTTAAAGAAACACCATGCGTAAATACATTTTGATTTGAGAATTTAGAGACATCTTTGTGAGCATTTTCAATTACTCAATGCCTGATTTTCAGAACCTGAGGATCGGATAACCTTAAATTTGTGATATCAAATTTTTATGGTTTGAGAAAAAAACATATTTATAAGTAATTTACATCAATCTGTACATGTGGTAATAAATTAATCTTGCTAGAAAACAAAAAAAACATTTACCTCTTATGAAAATAGAAATTGTACAGTGACTGTTTGCAGAATTTACAATGTTTTCAGATCACCTTATGATAAAATAACCTTTGACCCCCTTCCAATCCGTGGTCCAATAAGCTCTTAGTTGGTAATGAGGGTATATCATATTATGCATCAGCACTTATTTATTTGTCGTTTTATATGTATTAAATATTTGTCTACCTGATCAATAAATAGGGCTTTCATTGTACAGTAGGTGTGACCGGTTGACAAGGGTTGCTTCCTCTTCCTAGGAAGGTGATTCCACTTCTGGAAATTCAAGATTATCGTTTAGATTTTCGGAAAAAATGATAATGATAGTAATTTTTGATAGAGTTTGCAAAGAAAGTCATTTTGGTTTGCCCATTTTTGATTTTTTTTTATAAGCATACGCAGTATAAACTGGGTTTTTAATGAATGGTTTCTGATTCAAAATTCTGTCTTGAAAAATTTAGCAGCAACAGAAAAGTACAGTTGTGTATAAATAATTCATTGTGGACAATATTTTCATAACAAGTTTACTTAAAATATTTTTCTTTTATTTTTCCGACAAAAATTTGGAAACTTTTAGTTTAACATTTAGTTAGTGACATAGAGATGAAGTAAGAAACAGGAATAGAAAAAGAAACTTGTCATGTCAACTCAGATTGTCTTGATATACAGTTCAGTACATTTTATACACGAGGCAAATACATTAATTAAGCATATTTTAAGGTTTCTGATTAAAAAATGACAATATCCCACTATACATTTTACATTAAGCAATGACAATTATTACAATTCAGGGTATTAAAAAAATTGTATTTGAGATTTTTATTTATCCATGTCCCTGTATTTTACAGATTATATAACGTCTTCAAGGATTTTTGTTGCGTGGTATCACAGGAATCGTTACAACATGATCTTCTCTTCATTCTAGAGTTCTCATTGATTTTCTGGTGAGTGCACAAAAAGAAATAGTTGTCTTAATATTATCAACATTGAATTAGAGTATTATGTTAAGGCCCCTTGTCTGCTATTGGTGTCTTGGGCTGATATAAATGTGATATGTAAAAAGTTCAATATTATTATTCCCTCACAACTCAATTGAAGGGGATAAATTCATTCAATCATGTGTGTTTGTTTGTTGGTGAGTGAGTTAGTGATTTAATTCTGTGTGAAACGAAAATTACAGGGATTGATGTCGAAAGCTGCCTTGATTTATGTATAAAATGGTCTTTGCGATGGTATGCTCCACTTTACGGGGCCCCTGTACCCTCTCAATATATACAGACTGTAGTTTTCACAATCCTTTGACACAGGACTTTGGTTATGTCCAACTGTCCACTTCAGATAAACTGCAGCCTCATATCAAGTTCACATCGGTATTGACCATTGGTGAGTAAAGTTAAAAATAACCAATACGGGATATTACATCACAGGCGGTGAGTAAAGTTAAAAATACCCAATGCAGGATATTACATCACGGGTGGTAAGTGCAATTAAAATTTTGTCCCTATGTCACATCAACAGAACCATACATTGTGATACCTAGTTTGATGTGATCTCTAGATTTTTGAAATCACATATTTTTACAAGGAGTTAATTTTTGTTGCTTTGTCGCCTATAAGATTCTAATTTTCTTCACTGCAGATATTTGATTTTCTTCACTTGGTTGTCTCCACATTGAGCAACAAACAGATTGTCATTTGTATCTGTACACAGATTCCGGGGATATTTTAGTCCACAGTTTATGTAAAGGAGGAACTGTCCATCCTGGTCTATAATGTGGACAAAGTCGTTGTAGCATGTATCATCAGCTGTAAGGATGTGACTCTGACTGTCTGTGGTGATTCCTCTTGGAGTAAATGAGCCTTTCTTTGTATGCCCAGTGTACCTGAATCTTAGTTTTCCAGCCTGATTGACCACCACTACTGCTTTAGCTCCATCATCAGATACACAGATATCCAGGTTCCTGTTCTCAGTAATAAATCTGTAATATTGAGAACCAGATGAAAAGAGAGGTTTGCCTTTATCATCAAACTGAATGGTTTGTTTCTGTTTAGGGCTAAAACAACGGACAACTTTTGTTTGTTTGTTATCATCACTGAGCAAGATAACCAGGAAGTCACCAGAGGAGGTACTACAGACACCGTGAGGTCTCCAGTTCTGTAGTCTGATTAATTCCTCTATCATTCCATTTTTCACAATGTTCACAGTTCTATTACCATTATCACTATAAACTAAATCTCCACTTTTTGTCACTGCTATGTCAGTTGGCCAGTTCCCTGACTTGGTTGTGATTGACTTGAGTACTAATCCCTGATTGATGCTGTATAGTGTCATGGTGCTGATATTTCCACTTGTCCAGATTTCTTCATCACTCAGACAGACAACACTGTAAAGGTGATTTCCATACCAAGTGTTTATGGTGGTGATAAACTCTGGTTCACCAAGCAGTTGTTTGACTGAAGGAGAGGATCCAGCTTCTTGTGATTTGTGATGTGTTTCCTTCATGCTGTAGCCGTTCTTTTCCAATAATATGGAAGATAATGATAAAGTTCCAAACAGCTTACTAAGTTGCTCTCCATTGATTCTTCCTTGAGTGAATGTAGGTGAGGAAAGCACAGTTTTAAGTGGTAGCTGTCTATATTTATCTACATCAAATGTATTCCTGAATAGTTTCGAAATTTCATTAGAATTGACAACTTTTTCAATCAAATTGATTTCTTCTTTTATCTTAATAATTGTCTTGTTTATTTCATCTAGATGTTTCTGTAGAGTTTGTAACTGTGTGGTTTTCCTTTCATCAACTTCAGCCTTAAGTTTCTTGACAAGTTTGTCAATTTCTCTGTGCCAGTCCTCTCCTTGTTTTGTAATGGCTGTTGAGAGATCTCTGTATTCCTTTTCTAACTTACTCATTCTATTTTGTGCATCAGAGGCAATGTCCTGGTAGGTTGGATAAATAATCTCATGTAATTCAATATGATCTTTACTTAGCTTGTCTTTTCTTTCATCCAAAACTTCCAAGACTTCTGATAATTTATGTCCTATGTGTTGATCAGATGCAATGCACTTGGTACATACAGGAATGTAACAATGCTTGCAGTACATTTTACATCGCTCTTTATTATGAGATGTACACACAGGGTAGATAGCAGTTGATTTTCTGTCCTTGAAATCAATAATTTTATGAGGTTTTGAAAGATCAGCTGCAGCATGTTCTCCCACACAGGCCTTACACAGGTTGACAAGACATATATTACAGTGCATCTGTACCACAGCAGTCTCACACAGGTCACATCGCATTAAGTCCTGGCAACTGGTACGGGGGTCCATCATTTAACTTTCGAATCTGAAATTTAGAGTAAGATTAGCACTAAAAGTTATCTGATGGAAGCTGCACTTTTACGTAGGCAGAATAGCAATTTTGGGGGTATTTTTGGGGTTGGAATGAAGAAAGGTATCTCTTATAATCAGACCATTGTCCTTAATTTCATGTTAACATTTCCATTTAATACCTCATATAATATCTCATTACAGAGATCAACCAGATTTTACATGAATTCTTGAAATAAATTTTCATGATAAATGAATACACGTAATTAGAACTTATAAATATTATCATAAAGCAAATGTTCAAATGTAACAGAATCAATGTAGATATTAATTACCTGACTTATGATGGAAATGGCTGGTTTCTTAATATCGATCCTATTGCTATAAACATACACCTATACAGTTTGTAGTTTGTGTAACTAATATCCCGATCAGGTGATCCACATAATGTGTTTATACCTGTACAGTTTTATTTAAATTCCTTGTAGAAGGGATTTATATTTATAGATTTTATCTCTACTACCAGAGACATAAATAACAGAGATTCGCAGCTTTTCAAAGTCTCGCGCGATCTCGCGTTCCATATTATTTAATTTTTCAAATCTCGTGCAATCTCATCAACTTTGAGATAAAGTAATGTGTCTCAACTACCGCTATCATTTCTTTATTTCTAAATCATGCATATTTTTTTCTGAAACATTTCAATGGAATTAGAGAAGAGTAAAATATTGCAAATATTATTGCTTTGAAGAA